AAAATTGATGTATATCGGGAGTTTCGAAACTCAGATTTAATTTTAAACATTCCAGAAAATTGATTTTGAAAGGATGAAAATAATAATCAATTTTCCTTTATAATTTTGTGGGAAAAAAATAATATAAGATTCTTTTCTACGTTTAAACTATATATATCATGGTATAGTTTTTAGCAAATCACTATGAAACATTAGAATTAATGGTCTACCTTTTCCGTAACTTGATGCCCTATATCAACAACAATTGTTTTTTTTAATACAATTCATATTTGACTTTGTTTTCTTTCATTTATCTATATTGTACTAGTTTGTGTTATTGTTTTTTATTTTTATTTTAGAATTTGTACTGTTTTTTTTTTTTTTTGTTAGTTGCTATGTTTTTAAATTTTAGTACTTGAATTTGCTATATCTGAATGAATGATTTTTTTGCAAACAGTCTATCTACTTCTACGAAATAATTATAAGATTGACGTATATTTTACCCTCTTCAAATTCCACTTATAAAATTTATTGAATATGTTATTATTGTTATTGTCATTTTTCATTTATGCAGGTTTAATTTATCCTATTTAAAAACACGTGCAAAACATTCCATCTATATTTTACCCTCTTCAAATATTGTTGTCGTTTCTCTATTTGTGTGATTAGTAGAGAAACAAACTCCGTTAATATACTTCTCAATACTTCATCCGCTCCATTTCACTTGTCATATTTTTTTGGGGAAATTGATGTAGAATAATAAATATTTATCCTATATTAGGTACTATAGTTATCGTTTAAGAAAATTGTAATTTGCGGTAATAGTATTCTCAATTCTTGTTATTCTCCTGATTTGTATAATTCGTCTGATTTCTATAATTTGCTTCTTTTTTTTTTATATATAAATTCATAATTTGTATAATTCGGTTTCTAATTGTATAAATTCAGAATTTTGTATATACTTACCCTAGCTATTTGTATACGATTTATGAAAAATTTATATAAATTACCATGTTTGTATATTTGCAAACGAAATATACAAATGAAATTCTAAAAAAATTATAAATGTATAAATACAAATTTTTATATACTTACTCTATTTGTATATTGACAAGCGAAATACACAAACATACAGAAATATGCAAAACGCAGCCTCCATGGCAAACATAACTATAGTTATGGAGCGCAATTATCGAAACTATAGTTATAAAGCCTTATTATGTCTATTATGTTTGTTATTTCTAAAATTTTCTCTTTTTTTTACATTCCTTTTTAAGAAAATATTAACTATGGGTTAATTTGACTAATTTATCCATATTTATTGCTGTTACCAATTTAATATTCTTCTTTTCATACACATACATTAATTAATGTCTCTCCATATTTAAAGTAAAAGTATTGTTGTTGTTCCTATTTAGTAGTCACCATTTTAGGTTTCATGTCGATTAAGAAACTAAGTAAGTTTATCATTGTACCTTTATTTAGTGTTTTCTTGAAATCAAATTTTCAATAAATGGACATGAATTAGTCTATTTTGATAATTTGAATTTTGACCAATGAACGTGAATTAATTACTTAATTTTCCTATTTGGTCAAATAACTCTCAAGGGTAAAATATAAGAAGAATCATGCCATTTATGCATTGATTTCATGAAATGACAAGTACTCTCTCTGATCCTATTTATATATTACCATTTTATATTTCATGTCCCTTAAAAACTAGGTAAGTTTATCATTGTACCATTATTTAGTGTTCTCTTGAAGTCAAGTTTTCAATAAATGAACATGAATTAATTTACTTTGATTAAGTAATTTGACTAATGAATATGAATTAGTCATATGTTGGACAAATGTATACTGTCAAGGTTAATAACTTTCAAAAGGTAAAATAGGAAGAATTATATCATTTATGCATTGATTTTGTAAAATAACAAATATTAAGAAACATGTATTTTTAGTAAGAACCACATATAAATAGGAACTGATGGAGTATTATGGAACATCTATTTTTAGTAAGAACAGAGAAAATATTATTTTTTATTAACTATCCTATTTTTAACTAGGAAAGGAATATTATATTCCCAAACCAAAACCAAAACGGAATAGGAAATAGAAACCAAAAAAAGCCGTTAATTTCCTAAGTTGATTTCCCTTAGGAATATTATGTTTGTGCTCTCTCTATATATATATTTCCATCAAAGGCAAAAGCAACACTCATCAACTAAGACACCATTAATCACCAATATTTCTATGTAATTTGCTCTCCTCAAAATAAATATTCAAAATATTAGTACAAGAAAGTGATAATAAATCAAATTAAAGAAAGATGACTTCTTGTGGCAAAGTAGAAAATCAAATTCTATGTGCAAGGGGTTGTGGTTTTTATGGAACATCAAGCAATAACAACCTTTGTTCCCAATGTTACAAAGCTTTTCTTAAAGAAGGAGAGGCCAAGAATGTATCTTACAAGAAATCTTCTCTTATTTTTCATGATGATTCTGAAGGTACAACTAAGAACGTTGAATCGACGATGAAGATTAAGCTAAGATGCATGACTTGCAAGAAAAAAGTAGGATTAACAGGGTTTAGTTGTCGATGTGAAGGAATGTTTTGTAAGGTTCATAGGTATCCTGAAGAACATGCATGTACTTACGATTTCAAGTCAGTTGGTCATGTGACTTTGGCTAAGGAAAATCCTCCATGTAGATCTGCTAAACTTGAGAATAGGATCTAGGATATTGTTGTAATTGTTTCGATTATTCTTATAAATTTAATCTACTCTTTTAATTTTTAGAATTAAATTTCAATTTGCATATCTCAATAAAAATGATTTACCATCCCAAAATGGTATGTTGTTGCTATCGTTAATGAAAAGTTGTCTAATTTTTAAAGGGTGAAAAATATATATCAATTTTCGTCTCTAACTTTGTAGGAAATAATAAAATAAGATTCTCCTTCGACTTCAAAATATATATCTCATGGTATAAATTTTTCAATAAAACACTGTGTAGTATTACCCCATGGATCAGGCGCCTTAGAGCATCCAAAATTTTCTTATGAAAAACTTTATGAGGACCTCTGTAATGAGTTGGAAAACATTACATATAGTTCCACCAATTTTATTAAATTCATGATTTTGCAACACGTCCATGAAAAAGCGACAGAGATGCACAAAACCACATTTTTAGTAATCATCCTACCACTATTTCATTATTTTCTTACAACAGTTTAAAAAATTCGGTATATAATATTATACATATTGTAAAACTTAAGAACAAAAGAACAATATAAAGATGAAGACAAGAAGAATATAAGACAAGAGGAACAATATGAGATAACTTTCTTTCTTTCAAGTATTCACCAAATCTTCAAATGTCTACAATATGAACCCTTATGCCTCTATTTATAGTGCAACATAGAGGCATACAGAAGGTTAGTCATAAACATGACATTAACATGAATATAATGGAGGAAGTTATGGAAGTGAAAGGTTACAAGAATAATGGTTATAAAGTTGGAGATTATGGTTATATTCATAATGGAGGAAAGTAATGGAGATAATGGGTGAGAGTAACTTCTTGGTGTAATGGACATCCACACTATAATATTTTATAACAATACATAGGTATATAATAATATATATAAAAAAAATTATAACAGTGTTCATAAATTTGATATACAATATTATACACCTAATTTACAACAATATATAAAATTTTAGGAGCTGTTTATACACACATATATAATACTATAATATTATATACTACTATACAAAAACTGACTTTATCTTCGTCCTTGAATTCAAGCATTAGACTCATCCAAAACACCTAAACACTACATCAAATCACCCTAAATTTTATATCTAGATTACTCAATACGTACCTAGTCTTTTGTAGCAATACTCACACGAAAAGAAGCCTGTCTAAAAAAAAAACAATTTTTAAAATTTTAAATTTCAAGCTAATCATAAAAATTGAAATAAATAGTAAATATGAACTCTGTAATCGCTTGTAAAGTACGGGAAGAAGCAAATAAATAAAAGTCAAACCCCAACATATAGGCAACAATATCATATTATTTCTCAGATGTATAAATTGGTTTTGGGAATTTTACAAATTTTCTGATTAATAAAATTCAAAAATAGAGATTGTTCAAGTAATTCAACAGATCTTTGTCCGCAATGCACTACATTCAGTTACAATTATCCACAATACTAGGAGAATCATTATTGTTCTCAAATGAAAAATCTTACTAGGCATCTCGATTTAAATTCTCATTATTACGGATCAAAATATAAATATTTATTTTTTGATATTTTCAGAGTAATTTTAAATTAAATTGTGATCATCTTGTTTTCAATGGAAATGCCTAGAAATAAAATTAGGATTGGCAAGTAGATAGTGTCATGACTTGTTACCGACCCTAATTTTATCTCTATACATCTCAATCGAAAACAAGATGATCACATCCTAATTCAAATATATATACTTTGAGAACATTGAAATATATAGTTATTCAAATCTAACCCAACAGTTGGCTTGAAGCATTTGGGATGGTAGTTAAAGCATTTTTATTGAGAAATGAAAATAGAAATTTGACTGTACAAAGAAAAGATAAATTTGAAAGCAAATAAAAAAAGTTATAATAACATCGTAGATTCTAGTCTCAAGTTTATCACGTTTACATGGAGGATTTTTCTTAGCCAAAGTCACACGGCCAACAGACTTGTAATCGAAAGTACATGCATGTTCTTCATGATACCTATGAACACTACAAAACATTCCTTTACATCGACACTAAATCCTATTAATCCCAGTTTCTTTTGGCAAGTCATGCATCTTTGCTTAGTCAAATTTTTTGTATCTACTTGATTCCATAGACAAAACAAAAAATAAATAAAGGTAATATATATATATATATATATATATTATATTACAAGAAAAATTGAGAGTATACTAATTGTTAAATTCTATAACAAAGTCTATGTTTTCAAGATCAATATCAGCTCATGGATATCCCTTTCAGCATTCTATATTACGATCACCATCATCTTCTTTGTCCATAATAGCAAGTACTTCATCTCCAACATCGTCTTCCTCTACAATAATGTCGTCTTCTAATTGCAAAGATGAATCAATAAGTTCTTCAACGTCATTCATATTCTCATCGCTAGTAGATTTTCCCTTCTTCTTTATCTTACATATTACATAACCCTTGTACTTAATTTCTCTAGCACCCAAATAACCATCATACAAAGAGTATTCCGTCATTAGCCACTCGCCATTAGCATTCTTGTTATCACTTTCGCCGCAGGTGTACTTCAAACTTTTCACGTAACCCATAAGTCTACATTTGTTGTCAAACACCTCTTTTCCCTTTCCTTGTGGCTTCCACGTACCCTTCCCCACAGTTCAGACAACTCTTTTCCATTTTGGATTTTTTTTTCTTTTGGAGCGTTATGAAGTAACGTGGGTAGCTGTTAGCGCCTTCAAAAATCTGCCAAGGTTCGTTCTCCGCGTAAAGATTAACCACCTCCATAAATTGATTTTGATTGGGAAGTGGTGCATCTCGCGTAAATCCTACTAAGTTATCCATGAGTTCAATATTTTTCGGAGAAAATATATAACCCAACCGACCTATCTTAGCTCGAGTCATTATTTTAGTGATTGATGAATTAAAGAAACAATAATATGAATAGAGTTTTAGATTTCTATTTAAAAATAGAGACCAAATTAAACTAAAATTAAAAACCACTCTAACAAATCTTAATTAAACATAAATAAGTGAATACCATAATTTATAGACAGAAATTTGGTATTCATAATGAATATCAAATTAGGAGTTACCTAATTTTGATTGGCTAACTTTTTTTTTAGCGGTTGTTTCCTACTTTTCCAACACGGATTTTAATAGTGAACATGTTAAATTTTTATCATAAGTTTATATATGGAATCTTTAAGTGTTTTGAATTATAAAATTGTCATATTTGGAAATTATCTAAAAATAAATTAAGACCACTTTTTTTTTTTATAATTTTCAAATATGACGATTTTATATTTCAAAAAACGCTTGAAGATTCCATATCTGAACTTATTATAAAAATTTAGCATAATTCCTATTAAAATCCGTGTTGGAAAAGGAAATATTAATATTCCCCAAAACCGAAACCAAATCAAAAGAAAAGGAAAGGGCAAACAACCGCTAGAAAAAAAAAGTTAGCCAATAAAAATTAGGTAACTCCTAATTTGATTTTCATTAGGAATACCAAATTTTCTCCCTATATATTATCACCACCAAAAGGCAAAAGCAACACTCATCAATTAAGAGCTAATATAATTTTCTCTAATAGTAAGAAATAATCAAAATATTAGTACAAGAAAGTGATAATAAATCAAATTAAAGGAAGATGACTTCTTGTGGCAAAGTAGAAAATCCAATTCTATGTGCAGGGGGTTGTGGTTTTTATGGAACTTCAAGCAATCACAACCTTTGTTCCCAATGTTACAAAACTTTTCTTAAAGAAGAAGCCAAGAATATCGTGGTTTTATCTGAAAAGATATCATCTCTTACTTTTCATGAAGGTACAACGACTGAGAATGTTGATTCGACAATGAAGATTAAGCAAAGATGCATGACTTGCAAGAAGAAAGTTGGATTAATAGGATTTAGTTGTCGATGTGAAGGAATGTTTTGTAGTGTTCATAAGTATCCTGAAGAACATTCATGTACTTTCGATTACAAGTCTTTTGGTCGTGTGACTTTGGCTAAGGAAAATCCTCCATGTAGACATGATAAACTTGAGAATAGGATCTAAGGACATTGTTGTAGTTGTTTCGATTTGCTTTCAAATTTTATTTTATCTTTGTAGAAATTTCAATTTGCATCTCTTAATAAAAATGCTTTAATTACCATCCCAAATTATTATGTTGTTGCTATCGTTGATGTAAATTTGGCTAATTTTTTAAGGGTAAGAAATAATAAAATCTCCTTCGACTTTAAATTATATATTATGGTACAATTTTTCAGTAAAACTCTATGTAGCATTAGCCATTAGAATATCCTCTACTTTTTCAATATTCTAAAAAGTTATAATTAATGTTCAATATGTAAATGGTATGAATCGAAGTAAAATTTAAAGATATAGAAACTATTGCTATTAAGTTGCTATTAAGATGCATGATATTTAGGTTGAAAATTAATACCCATTTAAGAAGAGCGTATCAAAAGAAAGATAATTTTAGTTCTAGCATTAACTAAAAATATCAAATTATTACTTTAGTTCATTAATACTATACATCAATTAATATGAATTTTATGATAAAATATGCGCTTCATTTCTTTATTCAATCTTAAATAATGTACAAAGTTCATTATGAAAAGTAACTTATAAGTTACAATTCTCATCTTGTCATGCTCCCTATAAATTTTTATTTGCCTCAATTCATAGTGAGTGAGTTTACATGAGTTTGTGATATATATAGAGATAGAGATTCTAGTTTGTGTTGTCTACGTCGAAAGTAATACTAAAAATTAAGAAATAAGATTGGTAAATGCTATATTAATCATTATTGTATAATCAAGAGTAACATAGTAATTTTAATATAATCTTATTGGATTATCAGTTTAATCAATAACTATAATTATAAAATCGATAATCGAATAAATTTGATTACAAAATCATTTAAAATTCGTTAACCAATATTAATAAACTAATAATATTTTTTTCGATTCAATTTATCGATTAAACCAATTTTTAATGCTCCCCACAGAAGGAAGACCGCCAGAAACCAAATCAACAAGGACATAAAGATCTATTTCCCTTAAAAACTTTGCACGGTTAATTTAGAAACCAATTCTACAATTTTTCAAATTTTAAGAGTCAAATAAAAAAATAATTTAGGCAACAATTTTTCAATAGGCCTTTAAAATTTTCAATTATTGTAACTATTTCTTAATTTCTTTTTAGATAATTTCCAAATATAACAATTTTATAATTCAAAAAATTGGAAGGAGTATTACTTTTAGAAACTAATTAAGTATTAAAGAACATCTATTTTTAGTAAGTACGTCATGTAAATAGGTAAGGAAGGAGTATTATTTTTTATTAACTGTCTATTTTTAACTAGGAAAGGAATATTATAGGAAAAATCACGCCATATACACATTTAAGAGTCAATTTTACGGGTTTTAAACATACTTTTAAAAAAATTCTTACTTATAACAGTTTATTTACGAGTTATGACATGTCATTTAAAGTTAATTTTTATTTAAAAAATTAATTTTCATTTATTAATAAATGATTAATCTATTTATGGTTTTTTATTATTAATTAATAATATGTAAATTAAAATTGATTTATGTTCCTTTTTTAAATATGAAATTATCAGTTACATAGATATAGGGATTCACCTACAATACATTTCCTTCTTTACCGGTACCACCTCCCATACGTCAATCCCACCCCTTCCAAAC